AAGGAGCTCGACAGCTGCATCTGCTTGAGTAGAGATATGCTTCTTGACTTTATTGGCCTGTCTACCGTTGTCTGGGGACGATGCAGGCGACTGACGGCAGCGCTCAAGATCGTCTGGAGCCAACATCACCGGGCTGCGCCCAGCAGCTCAATCAATACTCCAGCATGGGCTGATCTCGAACCATGTAAATCCAGACTAGATGATTGGAGTCGTTTGCGGGTAAACGTGCATGTAATGCAGGATAGCCACGCCCATATGCTTCCTGTCTGCCGAACACACTCGTGCAAAAGGTCACCGGAGGCAGGCGCTGGAACGTGTCTGTTGGTCCAGGAATCATGGCATGATTGAGAAAAGGCAACTACCGGCACATGCTTTGTCGACCTTCAGCACCGACACAAGTCGTGACTGCATAGGGCCCAGACTGGATGTGTATCTGCTTACATACCGTCCTCGCTTCCGGTCTGCCGAGCACACTAGGGCAAAAGATCACCGGGACAAGCACTGGAACATGTTTGTTGGTCCAGGAATCATGGCCTGATTAAGAAAAGGCAGCCCAGACTGGCTCTTTGTATCTGTTTACATAGCGTCCTCGGTCCGAAGGAGATCGAAGGAGATAAAGCTTCCACATAGGCAAGGATTTGCATCAGACTATGGAAGTGCCTGATGTCGGTTAGCATACCGAGCACATTAGCGCAAAAGATCAGGCACGAGTCATGACTGCATAGGGCCCAGACCGGCTCTTGTATCTGTTTACATACCGTCCTCGGTCCCAACCAAACACAAGCATTGATCTGCAACTGCTGGCGCACTCAGGATGAACAGTGTTGGTATAGGCCACATTCAACATGTCTTATCACAAGCAGTACGATTCTCGTATCTGGACACTATGTCCAATCACAAGAAGAATACCATTGCATCTCGTTTCGCAATATCATCAGTGTTCACTAGGAGCTCGTGTACATGTTCTGGTTTGGTTTGTGTGCGCGTGACCATTGTATGTATACTATGTCTGTATTAGGTAAGATATATTGTAAATATTAACAGCTAGTTAAATAGAGCGTAAAAGTTCCAGCCACATATATATGTATATGTGTATACATGTATACATACACACAGACACAAGGCTGCTTATACACCGTACTCAACCGTCTGCTTCTGAATAAATTAAGGAAGTTCAGGGTTCAGGATGATGACGGCATTCTCCTTTGCTTGTTCCAGGGTTCAGGATGATGACGGCATTCTCCTTTGCTTGTTCAGTCTCTTCAGGCATCGACTTGGCACTGTTGGACCCAAAGGGTCGTGAACGAGCGGCGGCCGTGAACAACACCTACCCTGGCCGCATGGCATGTAAGAAACGCGTTATTGCAGCTGCACCAGAAGACTCGAAACTGTCTTTGCTATTCAGGAGTCAGATTCTTGTTAGGGTTAGGGTCCTCTTTTTTTCTGAATCTCTCGTTTGGAGCGGCATTGCTTGTTCTTGGCTGATTGCTCAACAGGCTCGGAGAAGGCTCAGGAGGTGCTCGCGTAGGTCTGTCAAAGTCTTTCCCCAGTGCCTACATTTTTCAGGTTGGAGCGGCACGCCAGGCGGGCGTTCTTCTTGCAAAGATTCAATCTCTGGCATGGCACAGTCAATGGTCGCAAAAGATCGCAAAAGGAGTCCAGGATGCTGTGCACATGCCCGGACATTTCGCCAAATGCTTCATGACCATTCAAAACACATCCATCCGTTGCTGGAGCTTTGCGCTTCTTCTTTCCCTTGCAGCTGTCCCTCCTCAGAGGGCAAGCGCCTTTGCAATGCCAGGCAGTGAGACGCATCCGCATCTTGGTAGAAGAAAACGGTTGAAGCTAAACTAGCCCCAGACTGCGTCTTGGTTCGCAGGAGCACTTCTAACCTTGTTGCTGTGCGACGGTAGGTTGCTCACCCGGCAGCCGCTTGCGTGGAGATTCCAAGCATCTATTCTCACGGTGAACCAGTTCGATCGAAGCTAGTGGTGTGAACTACTCCCGGAATGGTGGAGCAAAGCAAAGGTTGCAGAACAGCTTTCTGTTCAACGTGAAGGAGGAGCTCCCGGAAGGCAAAGTCGAGCCTTTTCTGCCAGCTGGGGGTACTTGTGCAGAGTATATAAGAGGCTCAGGTGTCGGAGGTGGCATGACGAAGCTCTAACGGCTTTGCTGAGGATCCCTTCTTTGGCAAGAACATCTTCCCCAGCGAGGACCTCCTAGATTCTAGCCGGCACGGCACGTCCCTGACTCCCTGCTGCAAGGAGTATCGTCAGACGTGGGTGGAGTTTGCAACTTCTATGTACGGCGTGGCTGTGGATGTCCTGCGTGGCCGGGTGCCCAATCTTTGAGAGGGTCCGGGCACTGGCTGGTTTTAGCTTGCAGGTTGCGACAAGGTGATGGAACAGGACGTGCCTTCCTGGTCGGAGTCGCCCCGCAGCCTCGCGAAGATGGGTGCCTCTGGCTTTGGTTTCAGTGGACGAAAGCGCAGCAGCAGCTCGAATCTAAAGTGCTTTCGAGATTCGACACTGTTGACCGGTCGGCTTCGCTAGAAGGTACCCTCGATAGAATGGGCTTGGACACTTGTCAAGAGCTGGTCTTGCTCGTTTGCTCCACAGATCATCGATAAACTGCTGTACTGCGTGCTGCAAGGGAGTAAAGAGGATTCTGCAGATCCACTGTCCCACTACGATTGCTCCAGAGGCAGACTCCATGTGAGCCATGCGGTTGATGCATGGATGGGTGGACGGCTAACCCAACATCGTAACATAGTCCAACAGATGCAGCGCAAGTCGTCAGCGAACCATCTCCAGGCGACGATGGACCGGCGCTTGCCGGCCGATTCATCTGTGGGAGCCTTGGGAAAGGCATTGGTCTGAGGCGGTCTGAGGCACCGTCAGGGTATCCTGTTAAGGAGGTGGCAAGTGTGTGCAATTGTGAGTTCGCAGTGCTTCATTGTGCATCCCATGTCATGCACGGTATCCGTAGGGTCGGTGGCACAAGCACACTGAGGCTATGACTCCGGCTTCACTCGAGAAGATCGGCTCCTTGAAGTCGCCAAGGACTTTGCAGACGCCCGCTCGCTGTTTGAAGTGCAGGCCTGAGGCTCTGAGTCGTGCTTTGGGACAGCTCTGATCATGACGAGTACTGGCTGCGCGGATGGGAGAGTGAGCGAGCAGCTTTGCACAGTCTGATGTTACAGGAGAGAAACAACTTGGCTACCGGAGATGTGCCAGACCTGTCGGAGCCTGCCAAAATGTCCGGTAGGTCTGCGGGGCACGCCGGAGATGGCCTGGCGTCCATGCGGACCCACTCCACTCCTGTGAAGTCTGCTGGTCACGCCGGAGATGGCCTAGCATCCATGCGGACCCACTCCACTCCTGTGAAGTCTGCTGGACACGCCGGAGATGGCCTGGCGTCCATGCGGACCCACTCCACCCCAGTAAAGTCTGCTGGGCACGCCGGAGATGGCCTGGCGTCCATGCGGACCCACTCCACTCCTGTGAAGTCTGCTGGACACGCCGGAGATGGCCTGGCGTCCATGCGGACCCACTCCACTCCTGTGAAGTCTGCTGGACACGCAGGAGATGGCCTAGCATCCATGCGGACGCACTCCACTCCTGTGAAGTCGGCTGGTCACGCCGGAGATGGCCTGGCGTCCATGCGGACCCACTCCACTCCTGTGAAGTCGGCTGGTCACGCCGGAGATGGCCTAGCATCCATGCGGACCCACTCCACTCCTGTGAAGTCTGCTGGACACGCCGGAGATGGCCTGGCGTCCATGCGGACCCACTCCACCCCAGTAAAGTCTGCTGGACACGCCGGAGATGGCCTGGCGTCCATGCGGACCCACTCCACTCCTGTCAAGTCTGCTGGGCATGCCGAAGACGGCTTTCCATCCATGCGGACCCACTCCACTCCTGTGAAGTCACCTGGGAACATATTCGCCTTCAGCGAAAATAATTCTGATGCATCTTCTAATTCACCTGTACTGGGGCAGAGCAGAGGCTGCTTGGATGTTATTCGCTTTTGTAGCTTCGTGTTGAGCCCGTGCATGCCGCACTTGTCGACAAACAAGGCTCTGCCTCACTCGCCATTGCGAACAGCGCGGCGGCGGCCGGTGGAGAGCAGTTTGGGCCCCAGTTCCAGAAACTTGCCAGCCACGTGGCTGGGGGGAATGGTTTAGTATAACGTTGAAAGTCGTACACTCCTACACTCCATACTGGAAAGGAATGTGGGCAGGTTGCACAAGCACCGAAAGCTTGCAAAAGTGCACGGTCCCTTCCCAGGCCGGGTGATTACTGGCTCCCCTGGCACGTGGACTCCAATTTTGTAACCATTCTCCACAAGGACACATCGCGCAATCTCAGCAAGCTGGAGATGGAGGAACTGCCAATGCTAGTCAGGAGATGTACGCCAGTGAAGCCACCGGCGCTTTCCTCTCAGAGCCGGCAGGGGCCGGGCTGATGATGATGAATGAGGCAGGCCCAAGGCTCCTCTGGGCTCCTCCTGGCTCTTTCGATGCCTTCGCAGGTCGGGGAGACGACGATGTTCCAGTGCTCCGACCCCGATGCGATGATTCTCCAGATGGGTGCGTTCGCACAAATCTATACAGGCTTCGGGACTGTCACATCTACTGCTGGGCAGTAGCCAGTTTTTTCTCGGTTTGTTTCAACAACTAAGCGGATGATGTCAGACGTGTTCTCTGTTTGGCAGGAACCCTCGTGCCATGCCACATTTTCGGCACGAGATCACATCGGTAAATATGCCTGCTGTCGGCTTCTGACTTCTCGCAACTGTGGTATGTGTGCGATCGGAATTGGCGAACTGTGACTGCCGCAGGGGGCGCAATGAGCTCTTGTCGACATGCTGCCTGCCCCTTAGAATGCCATGTCTGAAGCACTTTGCACGACGATGCACGACGTCGGTCAGTCCTGGAGAAGTTAATTTCCGAGGATGGTGTCGAACCCAGGTACTCAACACTCTGCAGCCGGGGGTCGCCCGTTTCAACTACTGCAGCTTGGCTGCCGAGACACCGTGTTGCTGAGGAGACGAGACTCGATTCAAGGAAGTGCAGGGCTGTCTGCACGTAGCAGGATGGGTTAGGTTGGATGGAGATACCAGCCAATTCAAGATGTCTGTTCGAGGCAATTTTTGGTACGTGCCGTGGGACACGCTGTGCGAGCCTCCCCCTGGTGGCTCGCTTGCACGTGCAGTGCCGCATCCAAGCCAAAGTATGTAGTTGTGGCACAGGGCGTGTTTGTTTGAGAGAGAGAGAGAGTGTGTGTGTGTAACCCGTGTTTCCAAGAAGTGCAAGGCAGACGTTTAACATGCAGGGGGCCGGAGCCCCCATGACCGGACTCCCCTAGCAAACACGCTGGCCATAGGGCGGTGAAGTGAACTGGGACTCCAGTTCATGTACGTGCATACAAGAGAGCAGTGTAACAATCTAGCACAAACATCATCCATCTGAGTAAGCCAACCCGCTGTCGGACCCCCGGCCAGCGGGGTTAACTGAATACATCTGAATACCTCTTGAATGCATCTGCCTCCTGGGTGAACGAGCCCCCGAGACCTCCGAAGATTCCACATGGTGTAGAACTCCCAGCTTACCTGGAAGATTCCTGAAAGCCACCTGCGCCTGAAAGACATACCCTGATGCAGCCATCAGTGACTACCACTGATCCTGGAAGAAAAGAGACTTTGGAGCTACGGAATAGAGTCGCAAACATTTTTCTCACCTAATCATCCCTGTTTCATCTCTCGTTTGTGTCTTTTGTGTGATACGACATCGACACTCAACCTTGAGACCACGCATGACTTGGACCCCACAAAATACCTGCCCTGATTTTGCCCGTGCATGCTACGGACACCTTGCCCAAAGACCTTCAATCGACTACCCTGTGGGTTAAGCTAGCCAGTAGCGAACGGATTAAGTGCAGTGTAGTGAGCTTGACAGCCTCCGGACTTCCTACTTGCTGTCTCGAATACACTGTTGTCTCAGCGCCTGGTCTTGTCACAGTCAGGATCACAATACTGGAGTGTATTTGCAACAAAGATGTTTGGAATGATGCCCTGAAGAAAACTTATTCAGCCGTTGGCACAACTCCCTCCTTGCTGTAGTTGTGCCCGCCACATGGCTGGAAGGTCAAAGACTACAAACACGACAATCTTCTTGCAGGTTTACTAAAGATTTCTCCTGTTGATGCCCCTGCAATGATGAAGGAAGCTGGACAATTGGTTTTTTTCAGTCACGCGTACCGTATAGGATGTGCCGGTTGTTAAATGGTTCAAGCCGTGACCCAGTAATTTATCGATATGGCTCCACATGAGTATCACAGAGAGGCCCGTGAGGCTGCCAACAATTCGAGCACTTATCTTGCGGGATTGCACCTGAAGTCGGAGGCTCTTGAAGATGGAGTGTCGTGTCATTTCCTCATCATTGAGGCCTTGACACGCTCAAACAGTTTTTCGATTTCAAGCTCCGAAGCGCAAGACTGGGATGTGGACGTTGCGAGCCGTGCCCCCGTTTCAGCATGATGGGACAGAAATCAAAGCTCTTCTACATTGCTGGAGCTCTTGATGTCACACCCTTGCCCATCTTTCAGAACGAGAGGTTGGAACTGTTGACTTGCCTGCGAGAGCTCGCGCGCTCCAAAGCTTGATCCGGGTATGGAGTGCGCTGAAGATTTATTGAGCAAGAACTGAAAAACCAGCAGCCAAGCACTCGTGGCTGCCACTCAGCTCGAGGCTAAAATAGTGTAAAATTATTCCTCGGAAGAGGCAAGGATGCAAGCGCTACGCATAAAATCGCCATTCGTAACAACACAGGGCGCCCTGCTCCTACAGGCAGTGCGCCTTGCGGTCTAAGTGACCTTAGGAGTTCTCCGTTTTGGGCCTCCGCCCGGGGGAGGTGCACGACAAAACTTATTGATTGAGCCGTTTCCACCTCTTTGCGTGCAAAGGTTGGCATGCAGTTGAGCAATGAATATTTGGCAGGAGACTTGGCGAAGGTGCAGCTGTCGAAGCCGAAGATGGCAACACTGCCAAGACGTGGGATGAATATCTTGAGACCGTGAGTTCAAACATAAGTGGCTAACAGCTTGATTCAAGCAGTAGTTTTTTTGTTGACGACTGAAGTTCATGCCTTCAAGTGGGTCGCGATGGAGGATTTCGGGAATGGGTCTACTCGGACAAGTGCCAATCGAAGCATCCCTCCAAGGCAAGCCAATTGTGTTGTGTCTCAAAATGATCACTTCATGCAAGACCTTATCTGGTCCGTTCACAGTATACATGGTGGGGGGAGGGGCCCCCCACCACAAGGTCCTGGCAACACAGTGTAAGGTGGGCCCCCCCCCTCCGCCACGTCTGTTTTAGCAACATGGAAACTTGCGTTTTGTGAACACGTGGCCAAGGGCGTCTACGTAGCAGGCTTCACGTCTGACCCCTCAGTAACTACTTTAGCTGCCACCAGGACAGATCGAAGCTGCTCGTAGATGGCCGACTTGTTCCTTATGCAAAGACACTCCGATGCGTAACATTACGATACGACAAGGTGTATCTTTATGTGGGCCAGTGTAAAGCAGAATAATGTTATCATCTTGCATGCATAAGCTTCATGGCATTACATGCGTGCTTGCATCTGCGCTGCCCGAACTCTGTCGACTCAGATTCCTTTTTGGCCCCTAGCTTCCATGGCCTCTTCTCAAGTTGGAAGTTAGAGTCTATCCTGTATCTCCCGGGCCGGTTGGTTTGCTGGCTGTGGTTATGTTGTCACAGGACTCCTTCGCCAGGGAGCGCGACAAGGGTTCAAGAGCGCAGTTGCTACAGCTGGCAGGATGCTCCCATCTTTAAGGGCTTTGCCGAAACGAAACTTTGCATCAGCAAGCGAGACCTCCCAGAATTTGCACAAGAGATTGCGGTGCGAGCGTTTCAGCGATCGCCAGTACATGAGCTGCTTGTTACTCACACGAGCTTGGCAACCCGCACGTAACACGTGGCTGGGCCCAAACGTTCCGATGCCAATGTAGATTGCATGGCACGCCAACACGTCTTGCCGGCCGTGAATCGCTTAATCACCTGCTTGCCTTCATCCTGGAACCAAATTCCAGGCTTGTGGGCCTTCCATACTGACTGGTCGATGGACATAGCAGGTGACTGAAAACAGGATTCAGCACCCAGGGAGATGTTCCGAATGCTGAAAAATTATGCTGTTTTGTGTTCGCTCCTCTTGTTTTGCCACGCAGTTCTCCGGCTGGAATGACAAGAGGACCTTACTTGGGGCGAAGCGTCCCAGTTCCGAGTACGGATGCGAAAACACAGGTGAATACCCAAAACGACACACTCCACCGTCTCGCACCGGGCATGTCCAAAACTTGTCTTCTCGTGGAACGTCAGAGCAGACGCTGGGAACGACATTGTCTTACAGATTTTCGGAAAGCTTCCCGTTTGTTGTCATGACACCGAGCGATGTGATTCGCTTTCGACTAACAGACTAACCAAGGGCCTCATTAGCTACATCCATGGGACGTGGTTAAAACTATTTTGCACACAAAGCAGGGACCAGATACAACACTTTGTTCAGCTTTCGGACTGCGAAGTTTGCGGCCCCCTGGATGCTAACACTGGATGCAACATGATGCAACATCATCTGCACCCTCAGATGCAACGACCCGGGATCTGCTTGATCAGGGCTGCTGGTTTGAGCCATGATCTGAATGACTCTTCAAGATTGCAGACCCCAAAGAGTGAAGACTCTGGGGGAGGAAAGTCATCCTCCGATTTCCTTCCCATGCTCCTTGTGGCGTTTCGCTTTGTTTCCTCCTCGAAATTTTTGAGTCGTTGCGTCATGTTGCGTCTGTTCAGGCCCTTGTCGCTCAAGGCATTGAGCCACATCCAGGCCCCAGGGGACACGGTAAGGCCCGCGTGCTGCGTGGGGGTTTCACGGCTTGGTCCCTCAATACGGGTGGTGCCCCTGTGGTTTGGGATTTCTTGAATTTGGTCCACCCAGCAACACGTCCATTGCTGTTGTTCGGGAAGTTTGTCGGAAGCAGAACGAACTTGAGGCCTTTTCCAGTTTTGCCTGGCAGCAAAGTTACACGATGTTACACGGTTTTTAATGTTAAAGGGCCCGGTGCCCGGACTCGTCTCCGTCTTGGGAGTTTTGATCCTCACCCAACTCAGGCGTACCGTCATTTACGGCATCCCACCCCATCGTAGGACACGCCCGAACAAGTCGTCGCTTCCTTCGTGGAGCGATGAGCCAGGAACAGGCAACAGACCCGGCAAAGACATCGCATGCTTCATGCGATGCTTGCATTCAGTGCGCTAAGAATTGTACGCATGAGCACCCGACATTTTACACCTCGATTTTTGCGCCTTTGACGCGGTGGCACCCGCCACGCAATGCGTTTCTTGAAGTTCACTTGTCTCCCACACATTCACTTGCTGAAGGGTGTGGGCTATGGACGGGTGGATTGCATTGGCACGTCAATCACGCCAGGTGGACAAACGTGCCAGTTGGACAGGCAGATGAACAAGCATCCGTGAAAGATCAAGTTCACCGGCGACCTCGCAGTGTGAAGTCGACTCTCAGTCGCAACCGAACCTGCTGAACGCAATGAGCGCCCAAAGCGACATTTTGCTTGTCTATCCTTGCTGGGCAATATGTTTCACAGCATTCTGTCCGGCTTGCATGACATGAGTTTTAGCTGTACTGCATGTTGACAAGATTTTTGCTCGCCTGGCATCTGATTTGCCAAGCAGTTGCGACACAGTTGCTAGGCGCCAGCGCATGGTGTTGTGACGTTGGCCACGAAGCTAGCAACGCCATGGGATGAAGTTTGGGACGCTGAACGTCGGAATCGCTGAACCCTGTACTTGCGAAACGGGTGGACAGGACCCAGTCCACCAAGAAAGTCAGGGCCTGGAACAATTTTCGAAGCATGTTGGCAGTCTTCCTTCTTGCCTGCACGGTTGCCGCCGTCTGATTGTTTTTCCACTTCGTCGTCAAGTCCTGTCTATCGCTCGTTGCAATTATTCTTGTCGAGCATACGTGCGTGTGTGCGAGGACCGAAGCGTCAGCATGACGTGCACGAGTTTCTTCTCTATCTGCTACCCAGGGTGAGGCTTCCGGGTCCCAGTGAAAGGTGGCAGATGCGTCGTCTTGATGGCACAAGCATCCATATCTGTGACATTGCACCGACCACAGACCCTATCACCATCGACATCCCCCGTGAATGCACGAGGCCTTCAGCATTGCGTCCAGATGTTGCATGCTCAGGTCTATCGTGTTGGGCTGTCCGAGCCTCTTCAGTACCCATCATTTATTTGAAGAGGTTTTGCAGTGATGGGTAGGGGCACACAGTCAAACAAAGACCATCAGGCGCTGTCTGATCTTCATGGGACGCTGCGGATGCCAGTCTTCACAGATTCGCATGCCGTGACTGTCCAATGGAAGGCCTACCAAGTGAGCGCGGTGTTACTGCACCGTCTTCGGGGCACTATCAGGCTCTGCTGCGCGACAAAAATGAGCCGTGTTTCCTCACAGATGATGCTCAGCCGGCTACGCTGCAGTCCTCTGCATCCATGCAGCAGCACCGTCACGGAGCGTACGTTCTATTTTGTATTGCCGAGATGGAGCTGTGAACCAATGGTGAAGCGACTGTGCGAACTTTGTGCACAGCTCTTCGTAGCTGCACATATGTCAGGGGGGCACGAATGTTGCGCGCCCATGAGGTGCCAGAACCTTTGGCTCTGCCTTGTCTAGCTAGGCGACGATTGCTTCGCTGCGTCCGGAAGAAGATGTATGTATGCATGGATGCATGCATGTATGTATGTTTGTATGTATGCATGAACTTGTGTATACATGATGGAATAAAAGAATGAATGAATGTATGTATGTATGTATGAATGTATGTATGTATGTATGTAGGCATGTATGTATGCAGGTATGTAGGTATGTAGCTATGTAGGTATGTAGGTATGTAGGTATGTAGGTATGTAGGTATGTATGTATGTAGGTATGTAGGTATGTGTAGGTATGTGTAGGTATGTAGGTATGTAGGTATGTAGGTATGCAGGTATGTATGTATGCAGGTATGTAGGTATGTAGGTATGTGTAGGTATGTATGTATGTATGCACGTACGTATGTATGTAGGTATGTATGTATGTATGTATGTATGTATGTACGTACGTGTGTAAGTATGTAAGTATGTAAGTATGTAAGTATGTAAGTATGTAAGTATGTAAGTATGTAAGTATGTAAGTATGTAAGTATGTAAGTATGTAAGTATGTAAGTATGTATGCGTGTGTGTGTGTGCATATGTAGGTATGTAGGTATGTAAGTGTGTAGGTGTGTAGGTGTGTAGGTGTGTATGTGCGTATGTGTGTATTTTCGTACGTGTATGTGTACGTGTACGTGTAGGTGTATGTGCATGTGTATGCGTACGTGTGTATGTGTATGTCTAGGTGTATTTGTATGTGTACGTGTAGGTGTGTATGTGTGTATGTGTGTATGTGGGTATGGGGGTATGTGGGTATGTGGGTATGTAGGCATGTGGGTATGTGGGTATGTGGGTACGTGTGTGTATGTGTGTATGTGTGTATGTGTGTATATGTATGTGTATGTGTATGTACTTGTGTATATGTGTGTGTATGTATGCGTGTAAGCTTTTGTTTTGTGTGTGTGTGTGTGCGTGCGTGTGGGTGCGGGTGTGGTTGGTGGCAAGTCGGTGGGTGGGTGGGTGGGTGGGTGGGTGGGTGGGTGGGTGGGTGGGCGCGCGCATGTGTGTGCGTGCGTGCGCCGGGGTCTTCCATCATCAATTGCATGTCAGGTATGGAAAGCACAGCCGTCAGCAAGGGCTGGAATGCCATGATGGATGAAAGCTACCTCAACATTACGATGAGGCCAGCAGGTGGTATCTAGGCTTTTCCTCATGGCTAGGATTACATCAAACGTACGTGTTTTGTAGGGTGTCCTGCAGCATTTACTGGGCCGTAGGAGCGGCTTCGGGCATTCACGGAGCTGTCAGTCGGGAGACTGAAATGAAACAGCCGGCAGGCAGAGCTTCTCCGCGTTCCGACAGTGGCTTGGCTTCACTTGCTCGGCTGTTGGAGCGACTCTCCCAGGTCGGTTTGGCTGTGTAGCTGCATCCCCTGAAGTCCAGGACTTTGGTCTACATCTATGGTTCATAAACACTTTTTATCTTTCGAGGTTCATGGTGTCGCCGGAGGCTCGAATTCAGTTCGTCAACTCCGAGCGCTTCAAGGCCCCTGTTGTGGAACCTGCATGTTTGGAATACGATCCTATCGCTTCGGACGAAGGAACTGTCGGCGATCCTCCCCTTGGAGAAGAAGCTGCGTGCGCGGGGTCTGGGCCTTGTGGTTCGCTTCTGTAAGAGCGACACAGAGCCGTCCATATCCAATATTTGTTGATTTCTTCAAGGCTGTGGTACTGAAGCCCATAGTTTCCTAATGCTTCAAGAATCTTGAAGACGCACTATTTTCGTCCCGTCAGTGTTGTCGCCCCTTCTCAGTAGTTTTCGGCGTCTTGACTCTTTAGTTTGTGGTTTTCTAGCTTCGTGACCTGTTGGCTTCTGGGCTCGCTGGGTTGCTCCTTTCTATCTTGCAAGTCCCGGACAAATTGCGAGTGCCGGCCGGTAAGTTAGTGCTGTAACCGCCATCCATTCTCTTTGCATGCAGGTCACGGCATGAGCAAGCTCGTGCAGTCCGGGCAAAAGAGCACTCATGCAGGTTTACCATCCGAAACACAGCAAGCTTGCCCTGAGCCCCAAACATCCTCAAACCTACAACTTTAAACCGGAAGCCTCAAGCGCTAGGATCCACCTCGGAGACTAACTAAGGATTTCGCAGAGGGAGACCACTAGAATCTATAGAACAACATAATGGGCAAGGAGAACACAGTCGCCCAGCACAGCCTTCCCCTGTTTTGAAGCGCTGCGGTTTCTGCGTGCATCAACGAGAGATCTGCTTGCAAACTGATCGTTTCCACAATAGGATGTGCTTTCTGAATCAACAGAAAAGCCGAAAGCCATGCCCGAGTCAAAAAAGACATCGAAACAAAGCAAGAGCCCACGAACCAGAGCGTTCTGACTCTGAGCACTAAAGCCGGAGTGTGAGCTTGAAAGTTTTTCGCAATGAACAAGTCACGGTCTCGGTGTGAGTGTGACCTTTGCGCGCAGCACAGCAGGTGCAGAGGTCTTCAGGAGGCAGAGTTCTTGCAGGCTTGAGCCGTCTCGCGAGATCCCGAAGCGAACTCAAGGTGTCCCGGACAGCAAGCCGGACATCCAGATCGACCTCTTGACCGACGTTCGCTGCCCCTTCTCGCTTCTGAGCTGCATAGGGTGTCAGCATCTCATAGACTTTTGCTTTCACTCGGTGGAGGAAATCTTGCACTTCTGTTTAAGACATTCGTGCTAGTAGATGCGGAAGTCATGCTGCAAGACGGCAGTCAACCCAATCCAATGCTGCAAAACTGTGGGCTACATTCTCAGATGGCTTGTGAGGATTTGTGAGGCCAATTCAAAAGACAACGAACCTTGAAGCATAAGTTCAGCTGACTCAAGCACATATGGCGTTACTCGCCTTGAAAATCACATCTTCTTTCTGTTATGCGGTGCCACGTATGAGATCTTGGGTCAGAAAGTGCGTGTGTCACCCTGTTTGGCGTTTGAGACCCTGAAGATGTTTTTGTCTTGCAGACTTCAAACAGCATCCACACGAGGGCACGCTCCCATTTACATGTTTCTTCTCATGGCCGGCATTTTCCGCGACTCGTTCTCAACGTCGCGTCCGGGCCGACAAATTCCGGGCGACTGTCAGTCTCCCAGTTTCGAACGTAGCCAGTGACCAGTGTAAGGGTCATGTCCACTACCAAAGAGCATTGTGATTGAGCAGTACAGGATATGCAGTTTGACCAGAATGGAGCTCCGTATCCAATCGGGGCCTGCAGTGCACCTGGAAAGAAATTCGATGTTTGAAGATTGCCCCTCGTGCTTCGGGTTTAGGGTTTCATGTTCAATGTTCGGCTCCTCTCAGCCGTGAGCTGCATCAGGTTCATCAGTCAGACGAACTTGCAGGCAGCAGTCCGGAATTTGGAGATGCCGCTTGACTGCACAATAGGCTTCTAGCCTTCGGATCCAGCCTTTCGTACACTCGTCCGCACCAGGCAAGACCATGTCAACTTGCGCTTCCACGCAATCTTCCTCAATCCCAATGTCTCCAAGGACTCACAGAATCCAATCACCATCCTGTTTCTGCAAGTTGGGTACTGCGTTCTTACGTCATCGAAACCCCCCCGCCCCGTGCGTTCTTACGTCAGGAAGGCGAGAGTTTGGACGACTACCTGTGGCGCGAGTTTGGGTACACCAAGGACTGAGCACTAGGCAAGGCTTGTTGCCTGCTCGGCGCACAGTGGCAAGTGCCTGAAGGAGTATGCCCACTCAGAGAATTATCCGCTGCGGCAAGCTGGGCTGAAGGCAGGTATTGCAGCCTGGCATGCTTAATTTTGCGTTGTAACACATGCGTCAGACGACGCATGTGCCGCAGCTGCTGCTGGTCCTGTGTCGCCCCGACGATTTCACGATTTCAGCCTCTGATTAGCCCCTCTCGTCGACGCCATGTCGGCCTATAACGCGTCCCAGATCGCCACGGCGGTTGCCGTCATTGAGGACGCGCTCAACACCGGTGCCGACGTGGCCGTTCACTTCGGCCACTGGACGCGTGCAACGACACACTCTCGTGTCGTTGCAGTTGAAGTGGGCGGAGGCGACGTGGGCAGATGCACAGGCGGCGGCTGGCGGCATTCCTGCCAGAGCCGCGCCGGCCCAGCCAAGGGCAGCACAGCAAGCGGTCGCATGCTATGGGCCGGCCCTCCTCGGGGGCGGCCACCATGACTGCGTGGAGTGCCACCTTGCCGGTTAAGGTAGTCGTCACTACTAGCTGGCAGGGCCGGCTTTTCTTCGTCGACGAGGACACCTTCTACATGTGCGCTGGCCCGGCGACTTGTCGCCGCCCTCGTCGTCGGCGCCAATAGCTGTATTATTTTATTTTTCGGCAGATGCTCTCGCGACCCTCTCCTGCCAAAGTCGTCGAGGCCCATCACGCCGTAAGCGCCCGACGTGTCTCACCAGCAGTTTGCACCAGGACTTTGGATGAAAAAGACCGGCGAGGACTTCTGCATGTTATTTTCTCGATATTTTTCTAGGGCCTCTAGGGCAGGCGCAGGTGGCTCGAGGAGACCGGTTGCCCGGCGCCTGGCCTGGCCAGGGATGCTGCAGGGATGTCGGCGGTAGACCTGCGTGGCCGCACGGCTTCGCCGCCCTCCCGACGGCCGGGGCACGCGACAGCAGTTTGGCCTTGGCCAAGGTGTGTGTGCGCATTTTGCAGGTCAGCGTCCCCACCGCAGTCGTTTAGCGGACAGCGACGCGAATGTGCTGGCTAAGTCGTCATTCCGGTCCAGGGTGCGCGCCTGCGCGCCTGGGTTGAGGTGTGTCACTCGTCGGCCGTCGAGACGTGGCCCATATCGGTGGATGCCATCCGTAAGGTGGCTGCGTCCTTCCATCGGGGCGGCTACCGGTCGATACAGAACTATTTCGACTCGGCGGTCACCTACCAGGAACCCTTCCGTGGCGAGCCGGTGGAGCTGTTGCTGCATGTTGTCATGCGGCTCATGCGCTTTGCCAGAGCGGTCTTGCGGGGGCTCCCCGTCGCCAGGCTGAAGGCGATGTTATCAGTCACCCCCCGGCACCGTTGGTTGTCGCCAAGGATTTGGAGCGGCCAACTCCGTTTGGAGCTTCCAGCTTGTTCAAGCTCCGAATCGGAGCTTCTGGAGGATTCTGGAGGCTTAAAAATTCGGCTGGAAGAAGCCTTTACAACACCAAGCACATGTAGTGTCAAAGCTTCTGAAGATTCTGAAGCCCTGCAAAAACTAAAGCTCGGCCGAATCTTTTTCGTCGGAGCAGCAACAAAGCTGGTGCTGCAGACTTGTGCTACCAAACTAAAGTCTTCTTTGGGAGCCTTCTGCGGCCCAGCTTTAGCAAGTCTTCAAGCCCAGCAGCAGCAGCAGCAGCAGCAGCAGCAACTATTTTGCTTCAAGGCTTGGCAATAACAAGCGAAATCTGCCGCCATTTCTGTAAAGCTCGAGGACTGTTTTCGTCGGGATTATTAGTACCACCTTTGCGAAGGAAGAGATGTGCTAAGTGCCCTGCCAGAGTTTCATCTGCATAGTACCAAAAATCCTTGGCATTGAATGTGCTTCCGCAGATGTGTTGGAATTGATGCAGCTTGGGCCTGACATGCCAGTTGAAGCAGTCCTCTGCTTGGAGCCCTTCCTTCTTCAGAACCAAGTACTGGCTTGCCACTTTGGCAGAGGCTTTGTCCAAGCCAGACGGATCACTCGTTTCATCCACCTTGTTGAGACTTTGGCCAAAAAGTTGGCCAGCCTGTGACAAGCCACTTCGTGATCACTGACCAGCCGAAATATCCATGTCGACGGCAGGAAAATCGGGCAAAATCACTTCTCTCATTGGCTGTGCAGTTTCTGCAGGACTCAAACATGGCTTTGCGCAGCCAGCACATAGCGCTTTTGGTGTTGTAAGTTGGCATGTTGTACCAACTGTTCAGCCAGTCCCACTCGCTTCGGATCTCTACGAGAGGGCTTTTTGCAGGTAAGTCCCTCCCAACATATGTTCGCTTTTGTTTGTCGGATTTCAGCCGCGGGCTTCCATCATGCCTGCAGCTGAGGAGTTTCCCTTCCTTCATTCAAGCACTGCATGCTCCAGAGACGGCATTTGGAGTATGCTGTCCTTGGTTTCATACCCCTCAATGAAAATCGTTTTGCAGCAACGTGAAGGGAACAGGAGATCTGTGCTTGGCATCTAAAGCTGCAGGAAGATTGATCGTCAGGAAATCAAACCCGTCCTTTCTCATAGAGCTTTGCACAGGCACACCGTCGCCACGGAGAGCAAAAGGAATCACTGCTTCATCCCCCCACCCTAACTTACGTTTGATTTCTTGCGCAGCGACCCAAGTCTTGGAGCCTTCTGCAGGTTGGCACCTTGCCAAGGCAGCAGGATTGCCACCCATTCATGCAGTTGAAAGGCATGCCACATGAGCTCTCTTGAGAGTTCTCGTTGTTTTTGTAAATCTTTCTTGCCTTTCAGCTTGCAACCCTGTGCTCCAGCTGACCTGGTTTTTCGACCTTTCGTTTTGCCAAAGTTCCTGGCAAGAAACTCCTGCCATAAAGTCCCATGGCATATTCAAGAAACTTCAGATGTATCCGAAGCCTCATCCCTCAATCTTTTTTCGGTGGGCCCTGCAATCGCCATCTGCAAGGCAAGCTTGCCAGCATGCCAACAACAAAAACAAGTACAACGGAGCCATGTTGCTGTGAACCGAGACGGCTGCGGAACAAAATCACAAGTAGTAATAAAGGCAACCGTCAGCTGCGACACAGATCGATCGTTTTTCGAGACCGCCAAAAGCGACTCGTCCAGAGTCAAGCTAGATGCCCCAGATTTGCTGCTTTGCGAAACGCTGCAGCCGGCCTTGTGCAGGCCATGGGTTGCGACCCGCGTGAATTTTTTGCGCTGAAGCGCCTTGACTTTCAGGCATTCTCGAGATCCCACTTGTTGTGCCCCGCGAGCTCCCTCTTGAAAGGCTTAAGTTTGGCTTAACTTTTCAGAAATGCTTGCCAATGCTGTCTGCAGCTGACCGGCCAGCTCTTCGTGATTCTCCTCGGGAGCGCCTCCTAGACCTGCACCTTGTCAAGCACCACCCTGCTCATCTTGTGCTTCTTACGGTTCAGCGAGACCTTGAGCAGCTCCAGAATTGACAGTTCTGTGCTGACTTGGGTGAGCTGGCTTGCGAGCTTCTTGTGCTTGTCCTTGTAATTCTGCTCATGGTTGATGCGAACATCGACTTCCTGGCCTTCGGCCTTGTTGGCAGCGCCGGCGGTAATCATTTTCGGGTGGTCGCGCTCTTAAGCTTTTGGCGGATGTCTTCAATGGCGTCGTCCACGTTCTCCTCCAGCTCCAGCTCTCTTTTCTTGGAGCTGCTGGCGAAAGTCTTGCCGTGCTCGTAGTAGTGCTGCTTGATGCCCAACTTCGCCAAGTTCTCATCCTCATGCTCTTTCTCGAGCAGGTCCTGGTCACAAGCCTTTTTCCGGCTATGATATTCACTCGAGTGAGGGAAGATCCCCTTAAAGTTGCGATCTCGTCATCCGTGAACCGCCCCTTTTGGGTGTCCTCCCTGTCCTCCTCCGCTTGGGTGTCCTTTTGCCAACCCGCTTCACAGAGATTTCGGGATCTAGCAAGTACACGTCGTAGTAAAACTCTCGCTTCTCTGCCTAGGTTTTGCACTTAGCAAAAGCCTGAGGCAGAGCGGACGGGTTCAGGCAGCCACCCATGTGGGCCTCTCCGGATCCAGGCACCGGTGGGAAGGTGCTGCCTCCACCACCTGCCGTGCCAGTCCTCCTCCGCCCCGCTCCAGATCCGATGCAAAGGCCAATCCACCACCGCCAGTGCATTCATGCACAAACACATCAGGATTGCCAGCCTTCTGCAGGCAGGGGCCATTGGCCATGAGAGCCTTCTGCAGGCTAGCCACCATGGCGAAAACCCAGAAAACGCTACGCGGAGATCTATCTGCGAAAGCTTTAGCACGACAGGATCTGCTTCACAGCATGAAAAGGAATTAAGGATTTAGAAACGTTTTTTGGGCTTCAGGGTTTTGGGGTTTTGGGGCGTTTTCAGGTGTAAGGTTTGCTCATCTGCGTAACATGCGAGTTTTTTGCGCACGAAGCGAAAGTTTGCACGTAAGCGCGTGCAGTGCATTTAATTCCAGTCCTGTCCCCTCTCTTTTGTTAAGGGTGCTACTACAGCTACTCCCTTGATCAGTGCAGGGCACAGCCTTGCACAGGCTAGGCCTCCGCTGCCAAAAGGGCAACCCTGATCTTGTTCCGCTTGGTGATCACATCCTCTCCTTAGTCAAGCCAGCTGGCACACCCACTCCATGAGCTGCCTCACGATAGCAGCGTGGTCGCCCAAGCCCTGACAGTTCACCAGTGACCTTTCTTTCGAGGCTCTGTTCGCTTTGAACACGATGTACGACATGTCTTTGGCAAAGGTTGGCTTGACCAAACCAAAAGCTCTTCGACTCCTTCCGCGGGTTTGTGGGCCCGGCCTTGAGCAGGCCAGCCGGCTTCTTGCAGTTCTGGGCCTTCGCTTTGGCCTGCGCTTTGGCCTTCACCTTAACTTTGTTCCTTTTTCAGACTGCCCCAAGCTTTTCACAGGAGAGCTAGCGGCTGAACTTGGCTCAACAAGATCTGCACTCGACGGTGCATGAGCAGCAACGGATCCGATCGAAGGCTCATTCCTCAAGATCCTTCGTTTAAGGGGGGTGTCGGTGCAATTGCAGCAAGCTCGGGCTGCGAGTCTGTACCCGTATTGGAGCTTTCGCACAGGACGTGCAGATGAAGGTTCCTTCAGGGCCTAATTCTTTTTTCCACGATGGCATCTCAGCTCGCCTGTCTTGGAATTTGTGTTTTTTCTGTTGCACATAGATTTCACAGCAGCGACCTTCTTCAAAACCGAATTTCGGCTGGCCTTGTCTAGGCCAGAGCACGCTTCTTACCATATGTTTCTAGTGATGATTGTAAAGTCAATGCCCACCGGAGGCTGCCTAAACCAAAGGCAAAGGAATTTGCAGTGCCTTTCGCCGATTTTTCCGAGGTACCATTCCAAGCGCTTTCTTTCATGTCTTTGCCACCGAAGCTGCCCCGGAGCATGGCTGCAATACTGGTGACTTGATCCACATCCATGCTTTTGCTGCCGCCTGCTGCAGGCGACCTAACAGGCGAGCCACCTCGCTTGCTTCGCCCTGCTTTCACAGACCTACTTCACAACATCGCTCGCTGAGATTTTCTCGAGCCGAAAGCTGTCCTACAGGCATATGCATCACGAGGACTACCCGCAAACATTAGCAGTAGCAAGCATCACAAGAACTGGAAGCTCCGAGTCGGAATTTCTCAGAGTTTCAGGGCTGGTTCATGTTTCGCGAGATTGAGTTCGCGGCGGTCAGGATCCAGGACCTCGATCGAGGAAGCCAGCACGGTTGGACCGAGGGTCCCCTTGAACATCTTGCACAACCGGCAGGGAGTCGGCATCCAGCTGCCACCGTCCACATGGGTGTGGCGGTCCAACTCTTCGCGGGGCAGGTGGAGACTCGACACAAAAAACGTTCGGAATGGAGCGGCGACGACCGGGATATAAGACTGCAGCCCTCACACGTGGCCTGTTTCCGGACACTCAGGGCCTATCCCGAGGTCGACGAAGACGCGGCCGAAACCGAGCTATTATGGGCGACTCCACCTCCTCGGTGGGTGTCCTATAGGGAGGCCGGCATTACATGCCTCCCTTGTAATTCCCGAGTATCGTGCCAAGCTGCCTTTGTCCAAGGTTCCTCCAGGATCCGATTTCAAAATCAGCAGTAAGCCTCCAGGCTCGGTGACGGGGGCAGCGAATGAGCCGGAGCCTTATGCTAAGAGGTTTAAGCCGGGCGTCGGTTCGGGTGTTGGTTCTGGTGTTTCGGGTGGTAGTGCCCCCTGCTTGGATGCCGACCCCCTTGCTGGTGTGTACCACACGATGGAAGAACACTTGAAGATTGCTACTTCCTTGGCCAGTCCGGCCGACTTCAGTGACAGACTGCCCATCCGGATGTGAACTGAGTTACCAAGGGAAAAGCTCGTGCAGTCTTTCGCTGTCTTCTCGAAGAGACGGGTTTCCCCGACTCCATCATGTTCGCCAGCTGCGACCTGAGCCACGTCAGTGCCTCCCGAAGTCCCAGAGTGACAGCCTGGTGTCGGATGTCGCCGCCGCGTTGTGCGCTCTATAGCGTAGTAGACCGGCTGCACATGTGCCGCCTTCCAATGGCACCACAAAGGTGGACTGTGTGACGAAGTCTGACGCCAGGTCATCCTGCGCCAGTGCCTCGTCAATGGTGGCCGGGTTGGGCTGTGGCGCTGCCCCGTCGCGACGGAATCTGCAGGCCCAGCTGGTCCAGGAACTCCGCCATGCCCTTTCGAAGGCGACGCCGACCAGCTCGTCCATGCAGGTCGACCGCGTTGACGTCGCCGTGCGGTTGACGTTCCAGACCAACCCCGCAGCGCCGAAGCATGCACATCGCCTTGTGTGGAGCCACATGGTTCAAGCCTCCGGTGCCACCAGGACGTTGCCCGACTCCGACGGGTCACCGGCCACTCCAAACTCAGCATAATAATCGACGACTGCGTAGAGGTGGCGGGAGCGGATGCAATCTTTTTTGTTGCCTTATATGATTATATGAGTTGACGTAAGCGACGACCGCCTTCTCTGCGCCCAGCTGGATGAGCAAGCAGGCCCACTTGACGGCGACAAGGCCGTCCACACGGCCCAAGTGCCGCCCGGCACCAGGGCCCTTCGACGGCAATGGTGTCATCGACGATTCGACGATCTTTGCTGTGCCGCGCCGACGCTGCACCAGCGCATTGACGACCTCAAGCACCGAGAAGGTGCGCTTAAGGAGAGGATCCCCGCGCGAGGCCGACAAGGTTGTAAAGTTTGTCCGGGTGGGACAAAATCTCCTCAGCTCCCAGCAGCTCCTCTGCCGGCTCTAGGAAGTTCTTGGGCGGCTTGTCGTGTGGCTTGTCGCGGGCGGCGGCGGCGGCGGCTGGCTGAAAACATCCCGTTGGCGACGTGCCTCGCACAACTCACTATATTTACAACGCAAAGGCCAAGAAGGTGCACGTGCGCACTCGGCCGAGAACACGGCGGACCGCTTCCTTTGCAAGGCCAAGGACTGCGGCTGGCCGTACGACCCCCGCTCCTTTTACCGGGTCACCGACCGATCGACCGTGGTGCTTGAAGTGTTTTCCCCAGTTTAAGGACATCCAGGGCAAGGTCGTGCCTACATCCTACATCGACGACGACGCGCCGGCTGCACTGTGCAGCACTCATGTACGTTCTATCAGCCAGGCGAGGTGCGACACACGGCGGGCCGCTTCCCGGCGGAGGTACCCATAAAGCCTGCCACCAGGGGCCAGAACGGCTGGGCTATATTATGTCGTCAGGATCGGCGCCCGCGTCTTCGAGTGCGCCACTAGCGCCGGCGGACTTCCTCGACCTCTTTGACGCGAGGAACCTTCAGTCTACGTGCTGGAGATCCTGGCGCAGGTGCTCGCGCTGGTGACGCTGGTCAGGCGGCTTCCACAGAGACGACTCGCGGTCATCGACAGCGTCGCTGGCCCTCACCAAGGGCTACGGGAAGGGTCCCGCCGTCAACGGCGAGCTGGCCGCGTTCTGGTCAACAGAGGCGCTGACCGACTGGCTCCCCGATTTTCGTCCGGTGCCGTCCAAAAGCGAACGTCTCTGGCGCTGTGTCGAGAGGCGACTTGGAGATGGCGCCGTAGCAGTGCATAGGATGGAGCAGAGTCGAGACGCCGGTGCGGAGCATCCTGCAGACGCTGGCGAAGCCGTTTCAAAACCTCGACTTTGCCGTGAATGTCGCTGCGGACGAGCTCATTGTGAACAATATGGCGGTGTGCGGCTGCCGGCGCAGTGGGGTTGGGGAGCGCCAGGCGGGGGCAGAAAGCATGCCCGTCGCCGCACAGCCTATAGGCATATAGGATCTGGCGAAGGCGACGGACCCGGCGCGATGCGCTTCCATACTACTCCAACAAGAGGGTTTGTCAGCCGTACCATTTTGGGGAAGCTCGTCGGGTGTCGAACGTGTCGTGTAACACGTGTAATGTGTGCAGCGGCCTGCGTCGCCCCGACGATTTCAACATATTTGGTTTAAAGAATTGTGGAGCGACGGGCTGGGATGAAGAAAGCGTCCCGGGCACCGTACAGCCTGGCTCTGGCGAACGCGACCCACCCGGCGCGATGTGCTTTCATACCACTCCAAAAAGAGGGTTTGTCTGTCGTACCATTTTGGGGAAGATCGTCGGGTGTCGAACTTGTCTGCCTTTCAAAGCTTGGCAGCTGCCTTGGAGACGAAAGACATCAACCAATTCTCACAACGAAAGTGCGGGGTGGGATAGACTCTATATCTGGATGCACGGAGACAGTACGTTCCTGTATAACGGCTGCAGCTCACACAAAAACAACACGGGCTTGATGAACAGAAAGTGTTGGAAGCCGTAAGTGTCCGAGGCCCTGAATCCGAATCGCCGGGTGGTCAACACCTTCGACGCCCATTGCCTGATCGAGGTTGCGCAGGTGCTGCTACAAACCCGGACCCGGAAAGTTATATGGACAAATTCCGAAAAAGGCCAAGAACCATTCTGCACCTTTGAATAAACCATAAGAAACCTCTAAGCCGCAAGCCGCAAGCCGCGCAGTGAAAGCTCATGTTCAGGCACAGGGCAAGCAGGAGGCGCTGGAGCAGATGCTTTCTCGATGGTATTTTGAGGAGGCGAAGGACCAGAAAAAGAGGGCCTACAAGAAATTGGCAGTCACGGGATGTTGGGCTTTCACGTGATGCATTGGGGGGTTCTTGTCAATTATGTTGCATCCTAAGTAGCATTCCAACAAAGCATCGGCTCACCTTCTAGAACTCCCCAACTTGCTGGAAGGGCTATCTGTCGCGGTGAAGCCGGCTGGCATGCTCTGGGGCGGCCTGACAAACTAGGGACACAGCCACAGTGGATGCTGCCGGTACATGTTAAGCTGTCGGCCGTAGCGATGATGCGCAACGGTTGGCTTCAAAACATGTCGCATTTGTGGTGCTCCCTCCCTCCCTCTCTCCCTCCCTCCCTCCCTCCCTCCCTCCCATATGTGTCGTTTCTGCCTGTTCCACCTGTCATCTCCTGACTGTGTCATCTCGTAACTGTCCTGTCTGTCTGTCTGCCCTCCCTCGCTCCGCTCCCCCGCTGCTCCCTCGCTGCTCCCTCGCTGCTCCCTCGCTCCCTCGTTCCCTCTCTCCGTCCCTGTCTCCCTCTCTGTCTCTCTCTTTCTCTCTC